GTGTGTGTGACTTACAGTGCGCTTCACATTCTTGACAAGCTTATCCAGAAGCTCCCTATCAGCTTCGTTGCTCGCCGAGCTGTCCATCTTGTCGGTCTGTTCCTGGTGGTGTTCCGAATACGGTCAGTTGTGTGGCAATGAAGAGAGAATCACATTCACTAGTCAGTAAAAGCAAAACAGTTGACTACTGCTGACTGTTGTGGTCTACTGGCTGCTGCCTAAAGCGACTGATAAGCTACTGGGTAGCCGGATGTGACAAGTGGAGGTGCACACTCACACATGCTCACAGCAAATGCTGCTGCTGCTGCTGTTGCTGCCGATTCTGGTGACAGGCAATGTCGTCGAATGGTCACTGCCAGAATACTGCCAGAAAGACAGTGTGAAGGAATTCGGAATGTCTCCTTACTGCAGTGATGGAAGCTCGAAGTAAGTGGGGTGATGCGAGAGTGGTGGTGGTTGCCAGCCAAGTGGCCCCTTTCGCACTGGGAACAGCGCTACAAGAAGGTGCCTGCCTGACTCTCACTCTGCCTGCCTGCTGACTGCCACTGGCTCGGTCTCTGGTGGAGAGAACTCTCACAGCTAGGACAGTTTCAGCGGACTGTACGGTGGCTGTACAGACTGTGTGGCAGAGAGGGTGCATTCGCGCAGATCGCCAACTGTTCACTGCTGCAGTGCTTCCCTGCTGTGTTGGCCATTCGCTCCCCTTTCCCTGCTGAATGCTTCAGTACCCCTGCGAACACTCACACAGCTGCGGCATCTTCCTCTTCTCCCTTTGCCACCAGAACCTGGGCACTTGTTAAGCCCTGCCAAACGGCTGTTGCCGTCCACAACGGCATCTGGGCAGTCAAATACCGTACACCGTTTAGTGCACCCAGACCACACTGCTGGAGCAAGTGTGATCCCATGCACTCTCCTCCTCCTCCACTCATCTGCATGCCCCATCATTTGAATAGTCATTTTTTAGGTTGTTTATCCAACAAAAGAAGAAAGACAGCAGCAAAAGTCAATAAAGTAAATGGCAAGAGCCAAGAGTTTAAAAAGTGGTCCCTGATGCAGACGAGATAAACAGTGGTGAGACATTTACACAGCAACCGCACACTTGCCACACAAAACACACACACACACTCTCACACTTGGTCGTGTCAAGGAGAATGGACAGGCGCAGAATGGGAAAGAAGGAGAAGGAGAGAATATCGATCGCCCGGACCGAGTGAAGCAAGTGAGTCTGCGATTACTGGCAATCAATGGACAGTTTAGATGTGCAGGCATGCCAGCAGGAAGAAGGGTCCTGCAGTGAGTCGTCACTCCATTAGCAGCTTAGGAGAATGAAAGCATGTAATCCGCTGGATGCAGCTGTACAGCAGCAGACGTAGTGTAGTACAGTAGCAGCCTTCCTCCCATCCTCCACTGGGCCCTCCACGTCGGCACCTTTCCACAGCAATGCACGCTGTCTGCCTGCTGTACAGTTCGGCGTTTCAGGCAACAGCAATTCCTCAGCAGCAGTGCAGCACATCCTAGCACACGAACTTGCGTGCTCATAATTGTGTGCCCAAAGCGCTTCTGTTCATTGTTTCTTGCACACCAGCAGCTGCCCTTCCCGTTGCTGGGCGAATGGTTAATTGCTAATTAAGTCAGGTCCGACCATAGGCGAGGACGCCTCGTCACTCGTCCTCCTCCTGGTGCCTCTTTACTCTCATGTCTGTGCATACACAACCAGCTTACGCTTCAGACACAGATTGACTCTGTTTGCTCGGCCGCAATTGTGACCAAATTGGGAGCGACGGGCAATTTAGAAGGCTAGTGAGAACGGGTACTGGAGGGTGCTGCTGCGATAGCACCAGCAGTTCAGGGCCCAGGCAGGGAAAACCGGTGCCATTAAGTCCCGGCTCTGCACAGGCTGACAGTGACGCAAATGGGCCGACTTGGATGTGAACCGTAATCAACTTGGACAAGAATAGAGGCACTCGGCAGTAGACACAAAGGCACAGTTGAGGATGCACTCCAAATTGGTTTGGTCATGCAGGTTGAGTGCTTGCTCGTCTGAGCAAACACTGCTCCGAAAGGAAAACGGAAAAGAGCACTTCTTTGATGTGGTTCTTTATTTGCATATTCTGCAACAAAAATGAATATTTACAAATTACAAGTATAAAAGAGACAGACAAAATGTGATACATATCTTTTAAAAGCAGTGTTTGCGATTATGAATCTATTCCATCAGCTCTTCATCATCCTCTACTATATTATTGCTTTGATCGACATCACTTTCCCAGTTTAGCATTTCTTCGTCATCGTCTGAAAAGATTTCCTCAATTTCCACACCGCCATTGTCATTGGATTCCTCCGATTCATCTTTGCTAGCGTCGTCGTCCGAATCGTTTAACAATGTCTTGAGAATAGTATTCGGCTGCCAGAGTACAACTGCTTTTGAAAATTTATCCTTTTCATCTTGCATCAACTTCCCGGTAATGCAAGAGCTGCCATTTTGAAAAGCATTTTTCAGTTCAGGCGAAAGTTCGAGAATGCGATCTTCCTCGTCGTCAAGCACTTCAATCACGACATTGTGTTTAAAATTGTTGCCAGAGGCGTTTCGCATAGACTCATCTGCAACGTCTTCTACAATGTAGTGATCTCCTTCGCTGATGTGAAAACGATCAAATATTTCAATCACTTTATCTTCGCTAATGTACTTTTTGACAGGTCGTCGACTTTCAAAATCAAAATTTGCGTCTGATTCCAGTTCGCCGTCGAGGGGACTAATGTGGCGTTTATTGTTTTGGTTGAAGCTGCCTTGAATGGGAGGAGATGAAGGGTTTAAAACTGTTGGTTGGGGAGAGAGAGGTGATGGTTGAGATGGTGGTGTAAATGGTTGAGGTTGTATAAATGGCTGTTGATAAGTCGCACTTGGTAGATAGTAAGCTCCATTTTGAGGAGGTACATTGGGCAAAATGGGCTCATATGGTGGGTGAAGCTGAGAAAAGGCGAAAATGCCTTCAGGTGAATATGGACCACTAGAAGACCATGGCATGACGTTGGGCACAGTATGAGCCCACATTTGATGATTGCCTACATTGGGTGGGGATTGCCACTGCTGAGGCGGGGAAAGTCGGGCAAAGTTGTTGAGGTTGGTGTTCATAGGAGCAAAGCCTCCATAAGATGGTGGCTGTGTATAAGGCAAACCGGTGGGTGGCTGAAAGGCGTTTGGTGATCCCTGAAAGAAATCCATCTTGCCGTTTTTTGCAGTGCTAAAGAAAAGTGCGGAGTTTTAGAAAAGTGACTGTAAAGACACAAAGGGTGGAAAGTGATTACGCTGATGGGCGAATTGGAGACTCTGCCATGCACCTGGGAGAAGCTGAAACATTGGCTTGATGGGCTCTGGTAGTTTAGAAATATCAAAGTGTATCTTGTGAAATACCGTAATTTCACGAAGCGTATGGCAGATGATGCATCGTGCGTGTGCCGCTTCTGTTTACCATTTGTGCTGCTGCAGCTTTCCTCGGCTGCACCTCAGTGCTGCCACACTGTGTGCCTCGATCATGTTCGAATCGTCGATTATTTTCTAGAAAATACAGTTCAACCACTTTCCAACACTTTCGAGAGCAATTTGGCTCGTCTCTTTTATCTAGCCTCAAGGCGAGTCTAAAATTTGGTTCAAAATGCTCAAATCTTAAATTTCAAAAATTTTTTACAGATTTTTCCTTGTTTGAACATGGTAAATGTTACTACTGTATGGCATCCCAATGGATCAGCTGCCGACTGAATTAGATAGCAGCGGCCCATGGTGACTCCTGGGGAAGTTTGATCACAGAGAGGGGGGAAAGTGAGGCCTGAGCGATCCAGGGTCGAGTGCCCTTTGGCCGACTGGCGACTGTGGATGCGTCTGCCGTTGCTATATAGCGCTTGTCTCCATGACGACTGGTGCAGACACTCGGCTGTGTAGTGTGCGGTACAATCTATGCGACTGCACGGACACGAATGTTCCGTAGGTGCGGCAGAGTTAACCTCGTTTTGAGCAGCTCGAGCAACCACTTGGCTCATTCCAACAGCAGCAGCACCGTCACCAGCAGCAGTCGATACAACAGCAGTCTTTTCCGAAACAGCCATTCCGCCTGCCAAATCTTCACATCGTCACTCAACACTCCCTCAATCCGTAAACAATGGACAAGGAAACACTCCGCAAGCAGATTGAAAACATGCGATACCAGGCAATGATGGAGCGTTGGCCACTCTCCAAGTCCATCCAGGCGTAAGTTCTATCCACCACTGAGACTTTGGATACCTGAATGATACCTAACTGTCGTTGTTTGTTTACCTTATTCTGTGCGGAACACAGTCTGCGAGAGTACATCGAGGAGAACGAGCCTCAGGATCCTTTGATCCACACCCCGGACAAGAAAAACAACCCATGGGCTGAAAAGGGAAAATGTTCCATTGTGTGACATGCTTTTGCGGAAAGCACCACCACCACCGGCACCGGGCGACACCTTTACGGTGACAATGCCAAGAAGATTCCGATTCTTGATCATTTACAAAGCTCTTATTTATTATTATCTTTACATAATATACCCAAACTCTATACAAAATACCACACACTAGTCAACACAGGCATGCCAGTGCAATCGACAGCTTTTGGAGACCAGCTTTTTTTCGAGAGAAACCATTGCTTTAGCAAATTCCTCTTTTTGAAATGTATCACTTTTTGACTTTTTTCTCCATTCAATTTGTTTTTTTCAAATGATTTCTGACTAAAACACTTTTTGCACCTCAAACTTATTATTCCTCGTTGGGTGGTTCATTTCGACAAATGACAGAGATTCGACGATCTCGTGGAACATGCTGACCCCGAAAGTATGAAGTTTTGTCATCTAAAATCTCATGAGTGAATTTGTAGCGAGAATCACCTCTAAGGAAAAAAGGTCATCAGCAACTTTAAACACACACGAAAAATACCGTTTACCTCATTATGTAAAGTGATCGGCGATTGAGCAGAATATCCACGAAAACAGTTTTGTCCTGTTCAAGAGCGAGACGCATAACCGAATCTGATAGTAGGGAAATTCCTGAAATGGTATCACCACAAAACTAAAATAGAGAGATTTAGTAAGACGAAGCTTTAGTTGAAACTGTAAACTAACCCTGACACTGTCGACATGAGGCTTTATGAATCCATCCTTGGCAATATCGAGAATGTGCACATACTTGATGTGTTTTGCATTTGAAGCAAACGCCGTTTGCCGCACTCGTTCAATAATCTTCTGGTTGTCTGGTTTCCATCTCAAATGTTCAGTCTCTCGATAGTTGTGAATCGCATCGTCCCAGTGACTAGTTTCGTAGCGAATTCTTTTCAAAACATGTTCAACTTCATCTAGTAATTTTTGCTCTTCGGTTTTGGTGATGAAATCCAGGTAAATTTGCATTGAACTGGTAACTTGCTCCAATGCAACTGGAGATGCGGATTCAAAGAACTTGATATTTTTCGGCAGCTTGTGTGCATTTTCTTTGCTTGGCACGAAGGAAAAGCGACCCCACTGATAGCCAGGAGACTTGTGAAAAATTGTTTTATAAATATATCGTGAAAACAACTGAAAGTTCATTGGGAATAAAAGTAGAAAGTTGAAAGAAAATGATAAATACAAATTGAAAGATTTTTTTCAAACTGGCAACAACTGTTTT